GGGTACCCAGAAAAAAACTGGGATTTTTTTTTGCAAAGCTATGTATTTAAATTTTTTTACAAAACAACCTTATCACCTTCAAAGTACTCTCTACGACACTTAATACATATGTCAAGTCTGCGATTCCATTCTTGGAAACATTTTTCAAACTCATCTGTTTGCATGGCTGACAGTACCACCCTCGTTTTTGTTTTTTTTCACCTCGTCTAAGTTGTCAAATTGCCATCCCTTCATGTTCCTCTGCATTCGTGGAAACAAAAAGAATTCACACGTAGAGAGGTCAGGTGAGTAAGGTGCATGGGGCAAGATAGACATGCTATTTTTTGCTAAAAACTGGTGCACTGAGATGGCTACATGAGCAGATGCATTGTCATTGTGGCAAAACCAGTCTCCCATCTGCCACAAATCAGACCTTTTTTGTCACACATTGTTATGCTATCTTTTTAGAACCTTTAAATAGAAACCTTGATTAACAAACAGTCTGTAACCTGGTGGTATGAACCTCAAATGTATTATCCCCCCTCACTTAAAAAAGTGAGCATCATTTTTTGGGGGGTACTCCCTCATATATACAGATTGATTTCTGGACTCAGTGAAGTGCTTGGTTGTGAACTGAAAACTCGGCAGTTCATATTCATCCATCCAGTGACTCAGCAGGAGAAAAAAACTGGTGATTTGTTTTCATTAAGAGTGCAATCAAGAAAACTATAGGGAAGTTGAATTCTGTCACATGGTGTTAACATGAGTTAGAATTTACTTGAAGGCATCCAGCAACAACCTATGTCTGTTTTAACTATTCCTTCGTTTTTAAGGATAATTTTGCTGGATGTAAGATTCTTGGTTGACTCTCTTTCTTTCAATATTTTAATATGTTCACTGACTGATATCTGTAGAGAAGACAACTATTGATTTTATTGAGAATTACTGGTACATGGTAAGTTGCTTTTTCATACTGCTTTCAAAGTATTCCAGAATAGCTGTTTTTCTTTGACATTTTTTCTGATTATGATTTGTTTTGGTACACATCTCTGAGTTTATTCCACTTGGAGTTTGTTGAACTTCTTGGTTATATAGCTTAATATTTTCCATGAAATTCGGGGAGTTTTTTACTATTAATTTGCATATATTCTTCGGGCTCTTTTCTCTCTGTTTAACCTGCTTGAACTCCCATCATGTATACACTTGATGGTTTTCCACTTGTATTTGTAAATTTTGTTTATCATCCTTTTTATTTTCTATAACTCAAACTCGGTAATCTTTATCGACCTAACTTCAACATTGTTGATTCTTTTATTTGCCAGTTCAGATCTGCTATTTGAACCACTTAGTGAATTTTCATTTCAGTTATATTTTTCACTTCCAGGATTTAAAAATACTTTAATACCTATATTTAAAAATGCATAATATAATATATTATTTTAAATTTTAAGCTTTTTACTGTGAATTAAGTGAAGGTTTACATAGCAGATAATCCATTTTATACTCAAAATTCATGCACATTTATTTCAACTCACCTATTGCAAACCCTTTAATATACCCCCTTTTTTTTGCCACTTCTTATTCTGGAATTCTGATCCGATGTAAATATTCTTGATAGTGTCCAAATCATTCTTAGACTTCCTCACCTTTTTTTTCTCATATAAAGTGGTGTTAATTGATTTTTCCTTTAATTCACCAACTCAATCTTTGTTTGATTAAACTTTACTCCTTCCAATGTGTTCCCTACATCTGAAATTTTTATATTAATCTTCTGGATTTTTACTACCTATTTTTGTATATTTTTAAAATTGTCTGTTTACTTTGCCATTTTGTCCTGTATTGGTTTCCTGAATTCTTCCGTTTCTTTGATTTTATTTGTGGTTTCCTTGATCTCCTGGAGGGCCCTATATGTAAGTCTTGAATTCCTTGTCAGGTGGTTCTGTGGTGTTCTATTTTGGCCACTTTCTTGACATCTTGTCCTATTTTGTTCTTTGATTTGAAGTTGTCTGTTGCTTACAAGACTTTATATTTACTAGATTATATGTTGAGTGTTTTTACTCTGATTTTTGTTTTGTTTTAATATATATAGGCAAGTAGGGTGAGTGACTACTCTGGTTATCTAGCTTGGCATCCCTGGCACACTTTCTCTAGGTGGGGTAATTAGTGAGAGTATGGCCATGGGTCTCTTTTTGTTGGTCGTATAGAGCAGCTTCAGGTAAGCTAAGCAGAGGTTATCCACAATCTGTCATTGATCAATTGGGTCATGAGTGGTGGCTGGTACTTTTCCAATAGGTGAGGTAGTAGGAGGCAGATGTGATATGTGGCTGAGTAATGGGGACACAGTGTCCACATTCTACTTTGCTTCTTCACTCTGGATTTGTTTACACGGTGTCTCTTTGGGGATTCTGTGAAATTAATTTCTTCTCACTCCTGTATGTTGATGGTCTCAGAGCAGTCATACTGTGCTGGATCTCTGCATCATCTCTCTGTAATCATTGTTTTTGTCCTGTTGCTTTTCCCAGTTAGTGTTTAATCTAATTCTTTATCCTTTCATTGGGTGCTGAAAATCCCGACTACCATTTTTATCTGTTTCACCTGGGTTCTTGGTTCTTTGTTGTGGAGAGACCAGGAAAAGTTTTTCACCAGTATGCCATCTTGTCCCTCCTTGATGATAACATATGAGTAGACTTTTTAAAGTTTGTGGAAATTTTCATTGTCCTTTATCCCATTTATCCACAATAACATTGAAACCCCCTCTGATGTGCAACCAATCAACACAGAACTAGTGGAATTGCCCCCACAGAGTATCAGTGCATGTTCTGCACAACTTCCTCTTCGTCCCCTGGGCCCTTCCTTAGGGATTACACCCATTCACAGAACCACACTTGGAAGCAGTGTCCTTATATCCACAGACTACTGAACTGTCTTTTCTTAATTTTCTTAAAACACAGTTTCCTTTAGTTCCTGAATATATAATAATTGCTTCACAATATTGATCTGTGAAGACCGACATGTGGGCCCTGCAGTGACACTTTCTGTTGTTTGCCCTTCTGTGTACAGAACAGTCCCTGGGTTACAAATGTACAACTTATAGACAACTCATGCTCGCCCTTTATGTATGTAATGTTATGCAAATTTGCTCTCATTTTGAAAAGATTGAATCAACTCCTGTGTGCAAAAATTCTGTATCATAATCATCTTCACTTGATACACTTCACTTGGTATCATTGGAAATACTTCAAATATTTTATTGTACTAAAGTTTAAGACTAAATTAGAAGTATATGTACCTAATCCGACTCACCTACAAATTCCATTTAAAGACTCAGTGGGGAATGAATTTGTTGGTAACATTCGTATACTGCCTATACTTCAATCTTTAGTGGTATGCTGACTTTTAAAAAAACTGGGCATTATGATCAATGTACAATCAAATCTCTCCCCTAGAATTTGGTGATGGTGGTGGTGGTTTTCTTATTTATATTTATATGTTTAGCAACTTTCCTGGACTTACTCTTATATATTCTCTATCCCTGAAGTATGCAGCTACTGAGTTCTCTGATAGTTTCTTCTTTTTAAAGTATTATTTTTATTTTTAAGCCTGGTTTCATTTGGGGTCACCCTTGAGATCAGTATACTGTACTGGTCAGCCACTAGAAGATTCCTCTTACATTTCTTGAGCTAATAAGTCATCCATTTTTGCCAAGATAATCTTTGTGTGAAAGCATACCTTCAACAATTCTAAAATTGGCAATTTACATATCAGCTTAGCTTTCACTTCTTGGTTTCCCAGAGACTCAAAATTAGCCAGAGTTGAGTGACTTTCGGCCTTTTTGAGCCTCTGCACATCTCCACACATGCATGCGTACTTCTTGAACCCTAAAATGAGCCCTAAGTTATATCAAATTCTCCCATTTTAGCCATTTTTGTCCCAACTAAAATCATACTGGTAAGCAGCTATAATGTTGCCAGGGGGTTGCTGTTATTTTTGGTAATATCCTGGGGATAGGGCTGTTTTTCACTGAGCTGAACTATATCAAATTACATGATGGCGACACTCTGGGAATGAAAATTTTCTGAGAATTTCCAGCTTGGACCAAAAACTTTTCTTGAATGCTCTGGGGATGGGCTTGTTAGGGAACTTCAAACAGATCACCACTCTCAGTTGGCGGTGATTCTGCTGGTTTTCCAGGACTACCATGCCTCTGAACTGGGGAGGTAGAGGAACTAGGAATCACCTCAAGTTAACATGCCAGAGTACCCTTTACAGAAGGTGAATTTTCTCATGAACAGATACTTTTCAATTTTTTCACTGCCTTGGATTAATTTCCAGCATTCTGAAATTGGTTTCCTTCTGTTTTTAATGTTTTGCTTTTGTGTGTGTGTGGGGGGGGGGGTGTCGTAGGAGGTTTACTGAATTTCTGACTTTTTCAGCCTATTGATATATCTTACTTTTATGGTAAAACAAAGTCTTTGGAAGAAACTTATGGCTTATCCATTAAAAGAAATAGTGTGAAGTTTAGTTCCAGGGCTGTCGCCCATGGGGAATTAGCAAGATGTGTTGTTTGTTAGGATCCAGGGATAAGCCTAGCTCACACACAGCAGCAGCAAAGAGTTAAGCCAGCATTTTATTAAAGTGGAGAGTCACTTCAAAAGAAATGAAGTGAGTGCCCCTCATGAGTAGAGAAGGACACCTTAAACATAGACAAGATACACTTCTGAGAGTGAAGCAGATCCCCCACATGAGGTGAGAAGGGACGTTCAGTGGAACAGGTCTAGTTTTCCTAAAGCATTTTCAAGTAAAAGGGGTTTTCCATTCTGCAGATGATCAAGCAACCTTCTAATTAGTTCGTCCTTGGGTCTCATACATGGGTTCCCAAGTTAGTTCTCTCAGAGTCTTTGTTCATTCCTTTAGCAGGCAGGACAGACGCCCCTGCTCTGTTCCTGTCAACTGGAATTGTTTTCTTCTTGTGAACATTTTTAACACTCACTGGGGACAATTACATTGTGATTCTTTTTCAGGTTGCTCTTAGTTCTGATTCTACAGGCCCTTCAGATAACCTTGAGGAACAATCTGTGACATCTCAGAAAGAATGCAGTAAAACCGTGAACACTGAAGCCTTAATGAGGGTATTTCACCCTCAAAATCTGGAAACTCTTAATTCTAAAATGGTAAGAAAACAAAATGTGGAACATATTTAAATCTATAGGCCATAGCCGGGGTAGAAAGGGGGAATTGATGACAAGGATCTACGACCTCCTCTGTGGAGGTCGGTAACAGAAAAGTAGGTGAAGGGAGATGTTGGACAGTGTAAGACATGACAAAATAATAATAACTTGTAAATTATCAAGGGTTCATGAGGGAGAGGGGAGTGGGGAGGTAGGGGGAAAATGGGGAGCTGATGCCAAGGTCTCAAGTGGAAAGCAGATGTTTTGAGAATGAGGATGGCAACAAATGTGCAAATGTGCTTGACACAATGGATGGATGTATGGTTTGTAATGAGCTTTATTCGAGCCCCCAATAAAAATGATTTAAAAAATGTAGAGCAGACTGGGAAGTACTATGACTGAACATTCTTTTGGGGCTTGAAATGATACACTATGTGACTTATTTGATTCTGTTTTACACAAAGATGATTACAAGGAATGAAGATAAAAGATAAAAGTTGGAGGCAGAGTTTTAGTTGCATAAAACTGTAATAGTCTATTGTGGAATCAGGGTGAGTTAAGGAAAATGATGGTTCAAAGCTGTACTTCCGAAATTTAATGGTTTTCCCATTTATGTATAAGTCTAACTTAAAATAGTAAATTAAAGGTATGATGTTCATATGGGTTTGAAAGTTTTTGTCACGATAAGTGTCTAGTGTTTGACTATGTGTATACTGACCTTGACTCTATAGGTATGTATGTTCTTGATATCCATAGATCTGTTCTATCATGTTGAAGAAAGTGGTCAAGTTACCTAACAGAAATTAATTTCTCAGCATTTTGAATTGTTTTGATTTTCTGATACAGTTGAAAGAAAAGATGAAGGAACAGTCATGGAACATCCTATTTTCAGAATGTGGACGTGGTGTTAGCATGTTCCGGACCAAAAAGACTCGAGATCTGGTTGTCAGAGGGATTCCAGAGACGTTAAGAGGAGAGCTCTGGATGCTTTTCTCAGGTACTACATTTCTTTCCTTCATTCATTTAACAAACATCAGTCATGTGTCTTCTAGGAGTTATTCACTAAGCTAAATTCATAGAATTATAAGATGAGGATGAGGTCAGGCTAATCAAAAGGAGAAAGGTAAATAGTATGTGTGTTCAAATAGATATCTATGCATCCATTGTCTGAGCCAAAAGGAAAGCTAAAGAGGAAAAGATCCCAGCTCATGAAAATATTCTATTTGATAAAATTAGTGTTTTGATCTTAAAGATGCTAGTCTGAGGGTTTGTTTTTTTTTTGTTTTGCTTTGTCTTGTTTTGGTTTTGATTTCATTTCTATTTATATGTACTCAGCTATTAGTTGAGAATAAAGCTAAATCTCAAGGTAATGAAATTTAATTCTTCATGTATATATACCAATAGCCTATGTTCCTCTTCCTTTGCCTAGTAATGCAATCATGTTCTTAGGTGCTGTTAACGATATGGCCACTCATCCTGGTTATTATGCTGAAGTGGTTGAGCAATCCTTAGGGACCTGCAACTTGGCAACTGAAGAAATTGAACGTGATTTGCGACGCTCTCTGCCTGAGCACCCAGCTTTTCAGAGTGATACTGGCATATCTGCGCTGAGGCGGGTACTTACTGCATATGCATACAGGAATCCCAAAATTGGATACTGCCAGGTATGACTGGACTACAATCCCAACTCTGTGCGTGTTTTAAATGTAAAAGCACAACTCTAACTCTACTAATTTTGCAAGTGTGATCATGAGGATGAAGTTGGGCTGAGATTGAAAGTAGATTTTATTAATATAAATCAGTAGAATGATAGTGGGAATACTTAAGAGAATTGATATTTTATTCATTATTTTTTTCTTTTTCATTGAACAAATTTTTATTGCATTCTACGTCTTAAAAGACATGATAAATACACTGTATTATGTGCTTAAGGTTTATAAGATTAACCAGATAAGAATTCTTCCCTTAAAAGAATAGAGACTGACAGGTGGTATTCATGGGAAAACCAAAACACAAGTGAGAGAAATTATGTGAGAAATTATAAAGTGCTAAAAGGATTTATAATAGGGAAATAGTATTTTTATATAGGGAATAGGAGAAGTCTTCATAGAAGACATGGTATTTCAAAGGCTTGAAATTTCATGAGTTTGGATGTATAGAAATGGAATGAAAAGACGTGTGTACACTTGGAATGTGTGCATTACCATGTTCTGTTTAGTTTAACAGGAGTGTAGATTGAATAAAGGGAATTAGTTGGGGGAAAATAATAAAGTAACTTGGCCAACAACAGGCTCTAACAAAAGAACACAGGTGAAGATGGCCCACAACCAGGCAGTGTTTTGTTTTGTTGTTCGTGGGGTCGCTATGAGTCAAATAAGACTACATAAGCACCTAACAAATACGACAGGATGGGATAGGTCAGAAGTTTAAATCTTATTCTGTAGTCAGTAGACATATCATTGGAAGGAAAAATCTCTAAGGAGCACATTACATTAGAGTAGGCTAGACGGCTACCCCAAATCAAATAGATAATAGTTGAAATACTTTAGTTTTGTGTTTTGTTTTCAGAAAAAATGTATTATAATTCAGTGTATAGGAGGCAGCTTTAGGTGCATGTTCTCACAAGTTTCTCTTGGCTCCTTGTAATGGATTTAATTGTGTCTTCCAGAAATACATGTTGGAGCCCTAACCTCAACTTATTTTTAATACTATTTGGGGAAAGAAATTTCTGTGTTATGTTAATGAATCTGTTTTAACCCATCCACTCTGAAAATAAAATTTTATTGTGTTTTTCTTGAAGGTTTGCATAGCCATTAAATTCCCATTTAACAAATTCTACTCAAATTGTTCATCAACATCAGTTACCGTCTTCAGAATGCATGAATATTCTCATTTCCATTCTGATTGTTTTATTTCCTTTAATCTAGTTACCTTGTTCCCATACCTTTTCATCTTTCTTTTAAAATAATTACTGATCATTTTGTCTTCTATATTTTTTAAAAGAACACATTAGTTATATGGGTGATATTCTTTTCTTTCTTTTTTTGTTGCCAATTTGTTACACAGCTACAAGATGACTTCAGGTTAACTTAAGTTCAAAGTTTGAAGAATATCTCAGGGCAAAAGGCTTGGAAAGGCCTTCCATCTCAACTAGTCCAGTACGTGTATGTTTTTTTTTAACAATTTTAGGTTATGTTCCACATTTTTCTCCTATCAGGTTCCATGTATTGTAGTTTTGCTCAGCATAGTTGGTTGTGGTAGCTGGGCATCATCTAGTCCTTCTGGTCCCAGAGTAGATGAGGCCATGGTTCATGTAGACTGCTTAGTTGGGTAGGCCAGTTTGTTCTTTATCAAATGTTTTATTTCCTTCTTTTTCTTTTTTTTCCTGTGTGAGTTAAAATCAGTAGTTATAGCTTAGATGGTTACCCACAGGTTTTAAGAGCCCAGATACTACTCACCAAATCATGATGTAGAACATAACATTCAGGAACCATTTATGCCTTTTGACCCAATTGTTTCACAAGCCTATGGTCCTAGGCAGAAGTTTATTTCTTAAAGAAATAAGCAGAAGAGAGTATCTACTCAGATCAGTAGATAGTTGTCCTTCATGAAATTAGTCAGGGCCTTGGGCTGACAGCAGGCTCTATCTTCAGAAATAACTTCCAAGGTGCTCTTTCACTACTATTAGGAAGGAAGAAAGTACATGGAGGAACAATTTTGGGACATGTACGTGAGAGGATCATCTAAGTGGCGGGTACCGCTAGCATATTTTAAGCTCTTTGAAAGTTATAAAAGGAGCATAACACTTACTTAAAAAGCTTATATTCACAGAGTCTATGGTGCTATCTATACAGTGGTTTAGAGAACTCTTCAAAGTATATGACACTCGACTTTTTAACTTCTAAAACAGGAGAGCAGAGTTAGAAACATGGAGGGAAGAGTAAAGTCATAGTGAGTTTAGCTGACAGTATGAATAATACCATTCAGATGCGAACAAGCTGCCAGGGAGATTAGACTGGCTAGGTTCATATTGGAATCAAGAAGTAAGTTTATGTGGGATGATATCATGGAGAATCATAAAAGTTTAGAAGAGTTTAGATTTATTATAGTAAGGAAATTTTAGTTATTTTGATTGATAAACCTTTGTGAGCAGTATGGAAACATCACAGCATGTTATTTGTTAGTTTTGTTCATTTATTCATTCATACAGACAGTCCCTGAGTTACAAACATCCAACTTATGTACAACCTTTAAAGCCAATTATATGAAAACTTTAATAATAACAAACAACCATTGGTTTGCAAAGTGCATCAAAACACTGTTATTATTACTGTGATATTATATTAAAGATGTTTTAGTGTATCTTGCCCTGTTTTTTATGCATAGAAAGGTACATTAAGTTCTGAATAATAAGAAAAACATTGACTAACTGACATTGGATACTAATTGTACCTTACTGTTCCAACTTACATACAAATTCTACATCAAGACAGATTTAGGAAGAAAACTTGTTTGTTGTGATCCCAGGACTGCTTTATTGAGATACAATTCACATAACAAAATTTACCTTTAAAGTGTTCAATTCCCCAATTTACTGTATCTATGAATTTGCCTATTGGACATTTCATATAAATAGAATGGCGTACTAGGCTGTCTTTTGTAACTGGTCCCTTCATGTTAGTCTTTTTTTCCCCGACAGTTTTATTGGCACACCTTCAAGTTTTCTTGGTTCATTCATGTTGTAGCATGTTTCAATGCATTGTTCATCGATGAATAATATACCATTGTATGGCTATACCACATTTGTTTTTCCATTTAACAGTTGGTGGTCAATTAGATTGTTTCCATACTTTGAATATTGTTAATAATGCTTGTGTGAACACTAGTGTGCAAGTTCCTTCTTTCAAGTCTTTGGCATAGTCCCTAACTTATGACGTATTCAAGTTCCATGCTTTAGGCTGCTTATTGTGAGGTCAGCAATTTGAAACGACTAATTGTTCTCCAGGAGGAAGAGCTACTGCCTCTGTGAAGAGTTACAGCCTCAGAAACCCACAGGAGCAGTTCTACTCTTTCCTGTAGGGGTGGCTCTGAGCTGGTATCCACTCAAGAGCAGTGAATTATCATTAGTAATATGTACTACCCCCACATACAGAATGTTGCTATCACTGATCACTGATGTTAGCATTCTCAGATGTTCAAGGTTAAAATTTTCTGTTCAAAACACTGCTGTATAACAAGCTATGATTTTTTTAAGTATTCAATTATAGCAGTGCTGACTTACAGTGGAGTTGTTCAAATGAATCCTTTTATAAGTCAGGGACTACGTGTATACCTGGGAGTGTAATTTATGGGCCATACAATACTTCTAGGTTTGACTTTTTGAGGATTGTCAAACAGTTTTACACAGTGACTGCACCACTGCATTTTCTTTCTTCTTTTTTTTTTTTACTTTTTCATTGTGAATTGGGTGCACATTTTATATCATGTCATTGATTGCAATTCCCATGATGCCCATCACTTTATTCACTTCCTTTCTGTTTCCTGTTTCCATTCTTCCTTTTTTTCATGAGCTTTGTCCTTGGGTAAATGATGCCACTTTGATCTCAAATGGTTGATTATTCTAGGTATGTGCATATCTCATTAGTGTTAGTATGCATCTTACAGACCTGTCTATTGTTAAGCGGAAAACTGAGTCGCAGGAATGAGTTCAGTTCCAAAACCGAAGGGTGATGATAGGCCATAGTCTAATTCAGCGGTTGGGTTGTAACCCCTTTGGGGGTTGAACGTCCCTTTCACAGGAGTCGCCAGACTCATAACAGTAGTGAAATTACAGTTATGAAGTTACAACAAAAATAATGTTTCATGGTTGGGGTCACCACAACATGAGGAACTGTATTAAAGGGTTGCAGCATTAGGAAGGTTGAGAACCACTGGTCTAGGGGTTTCCATGAGTCTGTCCAAACCAGTAAGCCTGGTATTATTATGATTTAAAATTTTCTTTTACGTTTTCTCCCCCTCTCTGCCCAGAACTGTCTAATGTGATCCCTTTCAGAGCAGTCTGGAGCTGGGCACCACTGGTCCTACTGATCTCAGGGTCTTGGAGACTGGTGATATCATGACCCATTGTCCACTGGACTAATTGTTTCCATGTGTCTTTGCTTTTCATCACTTTTCTTTCCTCCAGACGAGGAGAAACAAATAGTTGCACTCTAGATGGCCATTCACGAGATTTAAAGACCTCAGCTCACTACTCACCAAAGTAGGACGCAGAGCAGTCTCTTTGTGGACTATGTTATGCCAGTTGACCTTGGTGTCCCCTGATAATTTGGTCCTGAGCCCCCATGCTCAGAGACTCATTCCTTCAAGAGGTTTGGTTATGTTTAAGAAGTTTTCCCCATTACAAGATTGGATATATAACCCAGACCCCCCCACGGGGGTAAATAACAGAAATAGGAGTGAAGGGAGACAATGGACAGTGTAAGATACAAAATAATAAAAACAATATATAATTGATAAAGGATTCATGAGGTTGCAGGGTGGGGGAGGGAGGGGGAAAAAGTAGCTGATACCAAGGGCTCAAGAAGAAAATGTTTCTTGGGTCCCTAAGTTTATCTCTATTTTTTTTCCTGATGATGTTTGTAGTGTTCGGTTTTACATTTAGGTCTTTGAACCATCTTGCATTTGTTTTTATATATGATGTTAGATATGAATCCTGTTTCCTAAGTACTCATCAATGGATGAGTGAACAAAGAAACTAGGATACATACACACAATGGAATAAAAGGCAAATAAAAATAACATTGAAACTAGGAAACATTTCATAGCATGGATGAACCCAAAGGATATTATGCTGAGTGAATTTAGTCAACCACAGAAAGACAAATTTTGTATGAGACCACTCATATAAAAAGTCAGAAGTGAAAATGTTTTCACACACACAAAAGCATTCTTTGACAGTTACCAGGATTGGGAGGACAAAGGAGGGCATATTATTAACTGGAAGGTAGACTTGTGTTAACCTAGGTGGCCAGCAAATAACGACAGAGGCAGTGGAAGACACCAAGAGGAGAACAAAAGTTAAAGGCGATAGAAATACTATTAAGTACACATTTCTGCAACAACAGCAATAAAGTAATCTTTGAATACACACATATAAACTGAACAGAACTGGAAAAGAGAACAGGACTATACCTACAAATATATTTAGGATTACAGAGACTAATTCAACAGAGTTAAAAACTTCTTAGCCATTTACAAATACCTCGAGTGAATAAGTTACTGAACCTGAGGGCTCAGGACCATAGTCTCTCAAGGGATGGCCAGGTCAATTGGCACAATATAATTCACAAAGAAAATGTTCTACATCTTAACCTTGGTGAATAGTGCCTGGGGTCTTACCAGCTTATAAATAGCCATGTGCGGAGCAACTAAGATACTAATCTCCCTGATTAGAGCAAAGAAGAAGGAGGAAAGTTGAAGACACATGAAAACAGTCCAAATCACTAATGGACCACAGGAACCTCAGCCTCCATGGCTCCGAGACCACTCTGAAAGGGATCACATTAGAAGGTCTTGAACAGAGGGGGAGAAAAATATAGAACAAAATTAAAAATCATCAAAAATACCAAGCTTACTGGTTGGAAAGACTGGTGGAACCCCTGAGATTATGGCCTTTCTCCACCCTTCAGGCCAGGAACTGAACTCATAACAGTGACTCAATTTTCAGGTAAACTATAGTCAGATGTATAAGGGGGTACAATAACACCAGTGAGATATTCACACCCCTAGAAAAATGAACCATTTGAGATCAAAGGAGCAGCATTTAACCAAGAAAAAAGCTCAGAAGCATTTGGAAAGGAGGAATGGAAACAGGAAATATAGGAGGTAGGATAAATGATACTACATTGTGGGAATTACAATTGATGACATGAAACTAAATGTATGAATTGTTGAAGGGAAAACTGATTTCCCTAAAAACATTCACACAATTCACAATTTAAAGTAAAAAAATAATTTGATATTTTTATGCAAAATATATTAGAAGGAAAATTTTGAATGGTAGTGGGAAAGAGGAGGGAAAAGTATAAAGGATACTTTGTTTTTAAATGTTTTGTTATGATTTTATATATATCAAATATATACTACAAATATTTATAAACATATATAAACAAACATTTGACACTTAAACTGGTTTTATGTATATTATACTCACACACCCAAACCCACTGCCATTGAGTCAATTCTGACTCACAGCAACACAGAATAGGATTTCCAAGACTGTAAATCTTTATAGGAGCAGCGAATCTCATCTTTCTTTCATCACAACATTTGGTAGGCTTGAACCACCAACCTTGTGATTAGCAGAAAGCACATCCAAGGCTGCCACCAAGTTGATTCTGACTCATGACCCTACAGAGGACAGGGTAGAACTGCACCTGTGGTTTCTGAGACTCTTAATGGGACTAGAAAGCCACATTTTCTGCTGCAGAGTGGCTAGTGGTTTCGCCTAGTGACCTGGCAATTAACAACCCAACTCATAAACACTCTACCACTACAACTCCTGGTATATAGTCTAAACTGCCATCGAGTCACCTCTGACAAATAGAGACGTTACTTATGTGCATGTTAGACAACCATCACACTATCCATTTCCCAATGTTTCTATCACCTTCAGTAGAAATGCAGTACTTCCTCATTCCCCTCTTGAACCTACTCTTTATAAGCCCTAATACATTTTTGTATGTATTTGCCTATTCTAAATATTTCATATAATCTCATAGACGTTAAGGATGATTGCTATCTAAAGGATATTCTCTCAGCAGAGAGAAATGCAGATGAAGTTTCATTCTCCAGTTTTAGTACAAGATGGCTTCTGAAAGTTCCTAAAAATTGAAATTAAGATAATGGAAAGTGTCCACTAAATTTTTGAGGCCCCCTCATGCATCCTTGATAATGACAGGTGTCTTTTTATTTTAGATGTGATAATTATTTTTTCCTGCTCATTGAAATTCATCCAAATTAGAAAAGTTTCACTAATTGCAATTTATATTTATGATATCCCTACTTAGTTTTCCTGAAATGATACTGTACAAAATAGCTGATTAACATATGTTAGTCTGACTTCTCCTGGTTTGGGCTTGAACTGGCTTACAGTTGTCATGTTTCCATTAGTAGTACTCTTTTAGTTGTTCTTGCTATTGCAAACCACTATATATGAAGTAGAAATTTCTTTCTTACCTGAGTAAGATTTACTTTTCTGTATTTTATCAATAAATCTTAGGCAATGAACATTTTGACCTCAGTGTTGCTTTTGTATGCAAAAGAAGAAGAAGCATTTTGGCTTTTGGTTGCTGTATGTGAAAGAATGTTACCTGATTATTTTAATCGTCGAATAATTGGTAAGGAAACACTCATACACACATGACTATATATTTCTTTTCTAAATAAATTATGTGAATCTTGTCTGTCTAATATCTGATCAGTTTGAAGAACTGTTGAATTTGTTTGTAAAATATGTAAAATGGAAGTTATATTAAGCTGGCATGTTCCCTGACACGTTCAAGAAGATAGATATTTTTTTGTTGATTGTTGCAGATTGCCAGATCTTTCTCCCACAGAGCCACTGGGTAGATTTGAACCAGCAACCTTTTGGTTAGCAGTTAAGCACTTATGCATTGTGCCGCCATGCTCCTTTTTAAATTAGGTATATAATAGTAAATAATTGTGTGATTTAAAAAATAAAATAAAATTCCTCATCATTCTTAACAAAATTGAATTTTGAATTGACTATCCCACTATTGCTAAAATAAGGTGATAAAGTTTCCAGAAGTCCTGTATATTATTAATTGGTTATTTATGGACTTTAATCAAATTTCAATCTCCACATATATATGAATTGCGCAAATATTTACAGGATCAGAAAGGAAGATCAAATTCTTGGCTCATTAATTATGTAATATTTTCTGTAGTCAGTGAATATTTGTATATCTATGATCCCCTACCTCATAAGCCTTCAGTATCTTGGGTCAGTCATTGAGCATCTTCCTGCTTTTCACTGACTCTCTACTTAACCAAGAGATATTAAAATCTATGAAGATGACACCATGTCATTAATTAGCATATCTCTTGTCGCACCTAGTACAGGTCTCTGCACACCATAGGGAGTTTCTCAAATGATTTGGAATTGAGTTTCTCAAGTGGGTAGCATTTTAATAGCAGCTGTGTTTAAAAACCCATTGCTGTTATGTCGATTTTAACTCATAGCAACCCTATAGAACAGAGTAGAGCACAGAAGGAGTTCATAATTTAAGGAAAAGAGATGAAGCGATATCTGAATACTAACAGTAGAAGAGCCCTGGTGGCACAGTGGGTTAAGTGTTGAGCTAATAACCAAATGGTTGGAGGTTCAAACTTAACAGCCACTCAGTGGGAGCATGATGTGTCTGTGTGCTTCCATAAAGATTATAGCCTTGAAAACCGTATGGGGTGGGGGGAGTCTACTCTTGTCTTACAATGTCACTATGCTTTGGAGTGGATTCAGTGGCCATAAGTTTGGAGGGAGGGGTTGTTTCCTTTTGGCTTTAATAGAGGAAAGGGTAGGAAGTGTAGTAAACCAATTCTTTTGAAAAGTGTTCACTTTCTAACTTTTGTGTGTGTGTTCTTCAGGTGCCTTGGTGGATCAGGCAGTCTTTGAGGAACTTATTAGAGATCATCTTCCTCAGCTGACAGAACACATGACTGATATGACATTCTTTTCCTCAGTTTCTCTCTCATGGTTTCTCACACTTTTTATCAGTGTGCTACCTATTGAGAGTGCAGTGAATGTGGTGGACTGCTTCTTCTATGATGGAATAAAAGCCATTTTGCAACTGGGATTGGCAATACTTGATTATAATTTAGACAAACTGCTGACATGTAAAGATGATGCTGAAGCTGTGACAGCTTTAAACAGGTACAGTAAGAACCATGTATATCTGAAGGAGAGTAGAAAGGTCTTATTGATCAAGACCCTTATTTTACAGTTGAGAAAGCTGAGCCTTAGAAAGTTCAAATAATTTGCCCCAGGTCTAGTCCTATTAATTGTATAAATTTTATATGCTGGCCCCAGTTTTCACTATAAAAGGTCTTCGTGTAAAATTAATTTGAGAAAACAAAGAAGAGGCAATTGTATAAAATGTCTAGTGGGAGAAAATGTTTTGGTTTCCAGGTGTTTTTAATCCACTAGATCCAATTCTATGTTCGTAGTAGATTTTTTTTATTTTAATGAGTATAATTTATGTACTGTGCGCATGTGTTTTTATGTGTATATGTGCATATGTTAAATGAATTGATATTTGAATTAATATAAAGTGACTGTTGTAATAGTACATCAAATTCCATCATGTACAGAGTAAAGACAAACTCCTCACTTTCCTGTTTAAAACGCTCTCTAATAAAACCTCAATGTACCTGTCTTAAGTGTTTTCTCCCTACATGGCTCTACAAGCACTCTATTTCATTCTATGTGACATTTGCTGAACACACCCTGAGCCTGGCTGCTTCCCCCATGCTCATTGCTCTCCTTCTAAAATGTCATAGTGCTCAACCATCTTCAAATTCCACTTCTTTTTAAGACCTACCCTTGCCTTTTCTGCTTTTGCTGCCATTTTCTATTCTTTCAGAGTTTTTGTTCCACTAATTATGACATTAATATAATTTTTTCATAGGTTCTTTGACAATGTCACTAATAAAGATAGCCCATTGCCTTCAAGTGTTCAGCAAGGCTCCAATATGAGTGATGAAAAAAGCAATCATACTAGAGTGGACATTACAGATTTGATTAGAGAATCAGATGAGGTAAGTTTTTTTTCCAATTATAAACATATAAATCCCACTCCAAAGCCACTGCTGTCTAGTTGAATCTGACTCATAATGGTGAGTAGCACAAACTGCAACTGCCCCATAGGGTTTTGGAGACTGTAAACATTTTCAGAGTGAGCCCTGGTTGGGTAGTGGTTGTGTGCTGGACTGCCATCTGCAAGGTCAATAGTTTGAAACCACTAGCCGCTCCATGGGATAAAGATGGGGCTTTCTACTCTCATTAAACATCACTGTCTTGGAAACTCACAGGGGCATTCTACTCTGTCCTACTGGGTCGCTTTGAGTCAGCATGGACTCAATGGCAGTGAGGTTATTTTGAGGAGCAGACTGCACAACTTTTTCTCGCAGAGCATGTAGTGGGATCAAATCACTGACTTTTTTTTTTGTGGGCAGCTGAGTGCTTAATCACTGCACCACCAGGGATCCTTTATTTGGTAATTTTATCTATAATGGCATAATAAATGTAAGATAATATTGGAAGATATCATTTAAGATCTAACTTCACTTAAAAACTGAGTTCTAGAAATGGAAGTAGTGATGCCAGGAAGGCTCAGGGGAGTAGGGGAAGTAGGGGGAACCAATTGCAGGGATCGATGCATAATCCCGCCACCCCACCCCTAGGATGAACAACAGAAACTTAGGTGAAGGGAGACAGCGGTAGATGTAAGATATAAAAACAATAATAATTTATCGAGGGGTCACGAGGCGGGGAGGAGGGGAGAGGGTAAAAAGGAGCTGATAGCAAGGGCTCAAATTGGAAGTAAATGTTTAAAAAACAAAGATGGAAACATATGTACAAATATGCTTGAGACAATTGATGTATGGTATGTTGTAAGAGCTGTAAGAGCCCCCAGTAAAATTATTTTTCTAATTGAGTTCTGTGAGTTGCTTCTAAATTTGCTCAATTTTCTTTTCCTTATATGAAGCTATATTAGCTTGCTTTCACAAAGAATGACCACTGTTAAAGACCTACCACTATCTTTATTTTTTTTAATCATTTTATTGGGGGCTCCTAAAACATCACAGTCCATACATACATCCATTGTGTCAAGTACATTTGTACATTTGTTGGCATCATCATTCTCAAAACATTTGCTTTCCACTTGAGTCCTTGGTATCAGCCCCTCATTTTTCCCCTCCCTCTCTGCTCCCCTCTTCCTCATGAACC